GGTTCGCCCGCGAGATCGCCCTCAACAACGAGCAGCAGGATATCAAGAAGGCGCTTGGGGCCGACACCGCCGCGCCCGCCGCCACGGACGATAGCGACACCGAGGTCGAGGGCGCGGCGTCCAGCCGCAAGAGGAGGGTCGCCAGGTCTCGCGTCGCCGGCAGCAGCAGCCAGGTCGAGACGGAGGAGCAGAGGCAGGAGGCGGAGCTGAACCGCAGGGTTGCTGCCGCTACGGAGTCGAGTGTCGAGAGCACCAATGCCGACGGCACGCAGTCGAGCGTGAGCACCGAGGACGAGTGGGAGAAGGTGTCAGAGGCCGAGAACGAGAAGGACAAATGAGGGGCGAGGCGGAGGACCACATTTACGACGCGCTTAAATCCCGTCTAGCGATGCGATGCGATTCTATTATGACGACAGGGAGTTACGCATCGGCGCGATGAGACACTCGAGATACCCATGGGCAGCGTCGATATGATGGGCTTGGAGAGGCACCACGTAGCGAAACAGACTTGTACATATCGTTCTCGCAGCATGCTCCGCAGGGGGCAGCTCAGTACAAACATTTGACACATAAGCATGCTGATGGGGAAGTGTTGCATTCAAAGACGCTCTTTACGTCCAGCAGGTCTCAAAAACATGTTCATCCCAAACTCCTAGATTGACCAAACCCTCTCATCTCAGGCAATTGCTACAACAAGACAGTGCCGTCTTCCGAAACGCCGTCCCATGCCCGTGCTAGTTTTACAAGATCAAGTACCTCAGCCGATACCAGCTCAAAGATGCTTCAGCTTTCGTGTGGCGAAAGCAGCAACGATGGCACACATGGCACCGATGAAAAGACAGACGGCGATGGCGTTCGGGCCGTCCGTGTTGTGGTGCTCCTCCTCCGGCGCGTCCGACAGCTCGGGGCTCTTGCCTGGTTCGAGGATCGAAAAGACAATGGAGCTGATGAAGGTGCCGATGAACTGCGGCAGCGTCGTGTAGATGTTGAGGATGCCAAAATAGATGCCCGAGAGCTCGCCGGTCGACGAGGACGGTTGCGTGTTCTCGTCCGGCCCGTGTTCAAGGTGCAGAGGCTGGTCCTGGCCGAGCGTCGGCAGCTCAATGTTGGAGGCATCCGACAGGCGGCGGTATGCCGCGCCGCCGCCGCCGCCTCCTCCTCCGCTCAGCTTGTTGACTTCAACGCCGAGGAACGCCGACGGCGCCCACATGGCAATCGTCCAGGAGAAACCGCAGGCGGCAACGAGGAACGTCGCGAACCGGAAGCTGGTGGCGAAGGGCGCCAGGGACATGGCGGCGGCGAACATGAGGTGTCCAAAGATCCAGGCCGTCATGAGGTCGGGCTTCTTCTTGCTAAACTTCTCCAGGAATGGAGCAATGGCCCGGGGCGGCCGCGCCGTAAAGTTGTCGTCATCCGGCGATTTGACGATGAGAGGCAGCAGCCAGGCGCCGATGAAGGTGATGGTTGAGTAGATGACCAAAGCCATGCTGCCGATGCGACCGATGTCTCCCAGCGCATCCTTGGAATCCTTGCCATCCGCCGCGGCGTCGTAGCGGAAGTAGGTCTCGCCGACCCACGTGGTGCTGTAGAAGAGGAATGGAAACCAGCCGATCCAGGACCAGAACTGGGCCCAGCAGATGGCCTGGATTCTGGGCGGCAGATGAAGCAGCGTCGACCAGATCTGGCGGAACACTTTGAACTTTCCGGTGGCCTGGCGCGGGTCTTGTCTCGTCGACACGAGGACTCTCTCCGTCACGGCCCAGCATGTGACTGCTGACGAGAAGAGCATCATGAAGGTGGCAATCACCGTGAGAATCTGAAACTGCGAATCGCCCAGCCATGTGCCAAAGATGCCAACCAGGTCTACGGCTCCTGCAATGTAGCCCAGCATGTGCCCAATGGCGGACATCCTGCTGGCTGTGCAACTTGTTAGTGAGCAACTACGAATCCGCCCGAGGTTCACTTACACCAAGCAGCGCCGGTCTGCTGCTTCTCGATCGGCAGCGTGTCGACGATCAAGCTTCTTGCGCAAGACATGACTGGCAAGGGTTAGCTGGAATCACGCGACATTGGGGAGGCTGATCCTACCGGCATTGATGGCAAAATCCACAACGTAGATTGCCAGCACCGCCAGGATGATGGTAAATATGCGGGCAGTCTCCTTCTCCGAGATGAACATTCCCACAATCTCCTTGGTGAAGCCCAATATCGCGAGGGCAAACGCCGTGATGATCGAGCCCAGCACTATGAAAGGACGTCGCCTGCCCCATTTCGACTTGGACTCGTCCGCAATTGCCCCGACAATGGGCTGCACCACCAGGCCAGACAGAGGACCTGCGACCCAGACCAGCGAAGTGTTACTCTTCGACAGGCCGAGGTTGAGGAGGTATGGTGTGCAGTCTAACAACCGAGTTAGCCAAACGATGGCGCGCACAATTGGCGCGGCGACGTACAGGTCATTTCAATTCCCCATGTGAAGCTGCGTTGCGGCAGAAATTAGTCAAGTGAGCCCAAACGGCAACGACCAAGTGCAACATACGTGATGCCAAGGGTGTTGAACGTGAGAAGAATCATGCGCATGGCCTCGGAGCTCCCCCTGATGGAGGGCTGCCCCGCCCAGCTCGACATCTCGGCGGGATCCTGCTCTAACACGAGAGCGTCGTCTTCGGCGTTGTCGCTATCGTCGTCTTCGTCGTCTGAATCTGCTCGTTCGCCTGCTCCGCGAGAACCGGGTACTCTTCTAGGCTCCTCTCTATGTGCTTGGGGTGGTTTCCGCAGCTTCGACAGGTCATCAAGCTGGAGAGGGCTGCTCCTGTCGTCGTCGAAGCTGGAGGATGATCGCGAGGGTGTTCGAATGGGCGTGGATTTGCCGCCCGAATCGTCCGAGGGTGGGTGGAGAGTGGAATCGTGCGACAGCGTCGTAGAGGACGACGTCTGGTCCATTTGAAGATCCGGGGAGGATGGGGGAGAGGCCAGGTGGACCAGCGATTTTAAAGTAAATCCCGGGGGGCGTCGCGGCCGCTGCGGATGTCAGGACCGGACGGCGGCGCGCGCGTCATGCCCGCAGCTCACAGTGTCTGGCCAGGGATGTTTCTGGTCCTCTGAATGCGAGGTGCAGCAACAGGTGCAGGCCAAGGGACCAAGGGAGGGGTGGTGAGAGAGCTGAGGAAGCTCTGGTGGGCCGGGCGATAAAAGTAATATGGGGACGGATGCGCGCTGCAGCGTATTGCACGGGGGAGATTTGACCGGGCGTCGTGGAAGCACGCGAAAGGGAGATGTGCGATACGAGAGATTGGGGTCTGCTTAAAGTGGCCGGTGAGATGGAGCAGACGGGAGCACACACTCTGGCGGCTGCGGGCGGTTGGGATAAAGTATGTAATGATTAGGTACCGGACGTCGGGGATAGGGGCGGCGCATTTGATACACGGACGGACCAGGACGAGAAGAGAGCATGACGGTGCGGATGGGGTCATCAGCTCCAGCTACCTGCAACAAGTAGGCGGGATGCGTGGCTTGATGAGAGATACTGCGACATTCGTGAAAACTTACTGGACACAACGAGGATGCGAGGGAGCACAGAATGCTGCCGTGCGTGGATAACAAGAGTCCAGACGGCACGAGTAGTGTCTCGTCTAAGTGGCCTGGTGGAAGGTGTCTCCCTACCTGGCCTGTCGCCGTGCCTCGTCTCCCTGTCGTTTGTTTCCCCGGGCGAGTTGCTGTTGGAAATGGAAGCCAGGTGGAAGGCGACGGGCTTCTGGTGCTGAAGCTCTGACCAGGGCGGACAGAGGAAGACACCGAGTCGTCGGCATGTCCAATCAACTGGATCTTGTTCCTGGTCGCTAATATGCATCTAATTAACGCGTGAACCTACGTCCATCTCTCGGCGCTCCAGCATTGCAACGTGTTCTGGTTGAAATATCCCTTGCATTGAACCTTAACAGGTGAGTTGTCGAGCCGTGGTTGTGACAGAGACAGAGGCACTCGAGACCCTTGATCGTCGGCCTGGAGAGGAGTGCTGCTGTCCAGGGCCAGGCGTTGGGACGCGTGAACTGGGACGTTGCTGAATTGCTTGTCTCTGTCTGAGTTGAATTGGGTTGGTCTCGTCTACTTTGGATTGCACTACTTCTGCCGGTTGAAGAGGAGGACTGTCCATCTCCGGTTGACGACTACCGCAAAGTCAATGGCCTTGACACCACCAACACCAAGGCTGTTCCTATCGACAACCCCGAGGAATACCGTCGTTGAAGATGGCATTCTCTCAATTGCACTGCGCTCCACAATTGCGGCCCTCCACCTCACGAATAGGGCAATGCCGCGCAGGACATGCGTCACTTCATGCTTCCACCGGTGCAGCCCCTCCAGCGTCCGGCATCTGCCGCCGCAGACGTCCAGGACTGCCCCGCGTTCAACGGCGTGCCCCGCCATCCCGTCGCACCTCTGCGATTTTTTTCGTCTCTGCGGCCACTCGAGCTCCGACATAGGCCAACGTGGTGAACGCTAGCGCTGCTGCACCGCGGCACACTAACCAGCCAAACGGCCCAGCCCACACAAAATTTCCGCGTCGTCTGGCTTCAGTGCCTCCGTTTTGACTCACCGCAGAACCACCCCGCCGGACACCTTCCGCGACGAACGAGAGACGACGGAAAGAGAATACAAAGTCGCGCAGAGCCAGCCGGGCCATCTCATCTTCACCTCGACACCTTCGGCCCTGGCCAATTGACTCGGCAATCGCTCCAACTTAACCTTCCCAACCCCCGCCGTCCCTTGTGCAACCCGGCTGCCGCTCTCGCTGCTGCAGAAATCTTGTCGCATCATTGGATTTGCTGCGACGCTGTGCTCCATCCCTGCGCGCCCGACGTTCTCGCCCAATCCACGAGCCCATAACGACATCGAGGGCAAACATACCCCCACGTCTCCACGGCATTGTAGAGCGTATATACCTAGCCCGTCATGGATCTGGTCAACCAGTTGGTCTTACCCCTCCCCAAGCCAAAAGCATCATGGCCCAGTTCAAGGAGAAGCTGATCGCGAAGGAAAGCCTAGAGGGTCGCCTGTTGTTCGCCGTGCCCAAGAGTGAGTCAGCCGCGTCTGCCATGAATCCATGCGCTGACAATGCCATCCGCAGAGGGCCGCCTCAACTCGGCCACCCTGGACCTGCTTGAGGGAGCCGACATCAAGTTCCGCCGCGAGAGCCGTCTCGACATTGCCCTCGTCAAGAACCTCCCCATCGCCCTCATCTTCCTGCCTGCCGCCGATATCCCGACGTTTGTTGGCGAGGGCCGCGTCGACCTTGGAATCACGGGCTGGGACCAGGTCAGGGAGCACGATGCCGGCATCATTGCCCACAACAAGTCGAGGAGGGCTTCCGTCGACCTCAATGATGGCGAGCTGAAGCCCACCGGTGGCTGCGAGATGGTCATGGAGCTCGGCTTCGGTGCCTGCAAGCTCCAGGTCCAGGTCCCCGAGAAGGGAGCCTACGCCACAACGCAGGACTTGGTCGGCAAGACCATCGGCACCAGCTTCGTCAACCTGGCCGAGGAGCACTTTGCCAAGCTCGAGCTGGGCGTCGACGCCGACGGCAACAGCAACACGTCGCCCAGGAAGCTGCGCACCAAGATCATTGAGCTCAGCGGAAGTGTCGAGGCCGCCTGCGCGCTGGGTGTCGCTGACGGCATCGTCGATCTCGTTGGTGGGTGGTGCCCGTTTTGTCTGTGAAGCTGTTTGTGAAAATGGGGGCTGACCGTATCGCAGAGTCTGGCGAGACCATGAGGGCCGCCGGCCTCAAGGCCATCGACACCGTCGTCGACTCGCAGTCCGTCCTGATCAAGTCCCGCAACCCCTCCAACGTCGAGCTCGTCGAGCTCATCGCCGCTCGCATCCGCGGTGTCATCACCGCTCAGAGGTTTGTCCTGTGCCAGTACAACATCGAGAGGTCACGCCTCGGCGAGGCGAAGCAGATCACCCCCGGCAAGCGGGCGCCGACCATCACGACGCTGGACGAGGAGGGCTGGGTTGCCGTCAGCTCCATGGTGGAGAAGAAGAAGATTGCTCTGGTGATGGACGACCTGACCCGCGTTGGCGCCCAGGACATTTTGGTGCTTGATATCCACAACACTCGATAGACCTGAAAACCACTTAGACGACGACCACAGATACCTTTGTAATACACGTAAGGGCGGATCAGACATTTGTCTTGGAAAGCAAGGGCGAGCTGTCAAAACGTGTGAAGTGAAGCTGTAGATGGTGAAACGCACGCTGATCACCGACGCAATTGTCGCAGTTGTGGCTGTGGACGATGGTGTGCCGCAGTCGAGCGCCGGCCGGTTGCTTGCGCCGCTAGCGTCGCGTTTCCGAGGCTCTGCACCTCAGCCCTGTCGACGTGCGAGGCCCGACGCACTGAGCCCCTGGTCAACGGGGAAGCTTTGCGTTCACAGCCTGCGCGAATCGGCCCTCCATCGAAGCTTTACGTAGGCGACGGGCAGCCCTGTGTCGCGTCGAGTGCTGGTGTCGATTGGACCTCTCCTGCTGATCCCCAACACGCAAAGTGCGCCAAGTGGGGCCAACTCCGTCACTCCCGTGTCCCGGCCGCAGTGCACGCGCCAAACAGGGCGTATCGAAGGCGAACCCGACGGTAGAAGGATATGGGCTATTACCGTCAGGGAACTAACAGAAAAAGGGTGAAGCGAAAGCGAACGAGCGGCAGGCGGGAAAGCGGGCGGTGACCAGGTGGCCGCGCCGAAGGACCCGCCCGGACTGGCTTTGATCGACTGTAAGCTCCAAAATATTTAACTGTATTCCTGCCTCCGCACGCCGCCGTCCCGTCGCCACCGACGTCTTTTGCTTCTCCCCCGACTCTCAGGTACCACGAACCCTGGCTGCTGCGGGCGAGCTATTGCGGTTTATCGGAAGCAGCTCGCATTGAGAGCTTAATATCGTCGAAATGCGAAGGAATCAGTCTGCGGAAAGTGTGTCGAGCACCCGGTCCAACGGCGGGATTATGTCGTCATCAGCAACAGCCACGAAAGTCACTGCCACGAGGAGCGGCAGCGATGCCGGCACCATGCAGCAGTCGACCATCTACAAGGTTGGTCCCAACTTGACGATCCATAAGAATTGGAACTGACACTCCCGCAGGGTGTCATGACACCCATCATCTTCGTCTCGTTCCTCCTCTCCCTAGTGTGGGTCGACCTGAAGTACACACTGAGGAGATCCCGGGATCGCGGCCACCACCACGGCGGCGGCTGGATGCCCAGCTGGCTACACGGCATCGTGTACCGTCGCTCACCGTACACGTACATGCAGAAGGAATCCACAACGCCAAGTCCCAGCCCCAGATCAAGTCCCAGGGAGGAGCCGGGCGAGTTCTACTACCACAGCAAGCAGAAGAAGCTGATGCGCATGGAGATGGACGACGCGTTCGAGGTCCGAGGGCAGGTTCTCGTGGTCGTGGGGGCGGCTTCTCTGGCGACGCTCTGGGGGTTCTGGGTGTTGACGAGCTGGGTCTGGAGGAGCGTGTCACTACGGGGTCTTGTCTTTTGATGCGGATGAAGAAGATCCTTGATTGCGAAGCGCGTCGTTTGTGCCTTGTTTGCTTGTCGGGATGATGACGACAATTTCAGACGAACGGTTTTCTGCACGGCCCCAGGGGTTTGCCCGCGCTTTGATTCACCGATCCCGCGGGCGTCTGACTCGGTTTGATGCGATGGCCAGGTTGTCGACTGATGGTGCTGCTGGTTAGGTAAAGGGCTGCCAGAGACGCGGACGAAATGCTTGTTCGGCACTCGGCTTGGTTGGAAGGATGAGATTAGGAACCGAGATACCAAATTTACAAACAAAAGCTGAGCCTACAAATCTAGCGGAAGAGTCCCCATCGCATTCATTGTTTCCAGGCGTTTCTCGACAGCTGTTGCAGCATGTCTGCGTCCTCCCTGCACCGCGAAAAAGGCCGCCAAGACCCTGGAATCAACCGCCTGCCTTGGAAAAGAGCACGAGCAAATATTGACCATTGTTCTTCCATCTCCATGTAGTCACGTATTGCATGCCTCTGCCGTCTACCGCACCGGATCGTTACATCCGATCGCCTGAAGTGCCGTAGGAGCGGGCCAGATCGCGGGGGTGAGCCTCAGCGCCGGGTCTCGGCACCCAGCAAGCTGGCCAGGGGCCGTAGCTCCCACTACCACCACCCACCCCCACGCACGCGTCGAGCTCATCTCCTTTCTTTTTTGGCTTTCCACACGCAAATTCACCAACGCGCGCCTCACATCAGATGTTGTAAACCACTTCAACTCAATGTGTCACTCTCATACAAACGCCGGATGAAATAAAAATGACAGAGCCTGAGCGCAGCACGAGGCCCGGCGTCCTGCACGGGACCTCGGCGCCGTTGGAAAACGCGCTGCGAACCGAACTGTACGCCGCCATCGAGGCCATTTACGCGGCGGGTGGGTCCGACACGTCCAGCGTGCCCAAGCCGGAGCCTTTGGCCGCCAACGACAACCGTCACGATGGACCTGATGCCGCCTCCAAGCGGCTTTCCGAGGTTCTCAAGTTCTGGGGCTCGAGGATCGAGGCGCGCAACCTGCTGCACCAGCGGGCCTTCTACCACCTCCACCCGCCTGCGAACATCCGGGACTTTGAGAGCTGGGTCTTGGCCCGGGACATGTGCGCCGCGGATGCCGCTCTTGTCGCCCGCCTCCGCTGCGAGTGCCCAAAGGCCGGCTTCGAGGTTCTCCCCGTGGTCCTGGAATACACCGGAACCGCCTGCCAGTACGACGCGTGGGTGTCCAAGGAGCAGTCCAACGGCCATGCCTCGGAACCTCAAATCGGAGAGGACGGGTACTGGAAGACGTACCAGCACGTACGCCACACGCCGCATGTCTACCAGTTCAGAGGGTTCTCGGGAGCGAACCTTGCGGAGGAGATTGACTGCAAGGAAGGCAATGTCCTCGACGAACGGAATATTGCGTGGGAGCGTGCCCGCCGCGGGCTGTTCTTCTGGCAAGGGCCCCAAGAGCAGAGGTATTTCGATGAAGAGCGTCAGGCTCGCGAGAACAACCCCAAGTGGTATCAGAAGATCGTCCCGGGGACGACCGCCGACCTCGGCAAGTACTTCGCACCTGTTGGTCTAACCCTCCATGTGACGCGACGTGTTCTCACCACCCGCAGGCCATCATGATTGTGCCCACGAGCACGCAACTGGATCTGGTCGATTTCGCGGAAAACCCGCAGCCCTGCGCCAACGTCTGGTGGCACTTACTCAAGCAGTGCGAAGCCCCCGTGAAGCGACAGGAGCACTTTGAGGTCCTGGAGGCGCTGTGCGATTACGTGTTCCCAAAGGAGAGCGAAGCACCGGCGGAAACCCGCATCCTCGGCATGCGGGTTAGCAATCGAGAAGATTGGGCCAAGGCGTTAGATCCCCTCATCATGGGCGACTTGATAGTAGTCTCCCTGGTCTTCCGGGCCCATTCTCTCTTCGAGCGCCTCGCCGCTAACACACCGGTACACCCCACAATCAACTACGACTTGTTGTGTCAGAATGCCGACAGGACGGGATATTCCGCGGCGAAAGCGCTTGGGGCGTACGTATTCCCTCGGCGTGAATGGGGACACATCTGACGCAGAGACAGGTTGCGCCGCTTCTTCTTCAAGAACGCCCACTTCCTACAGGTTGCTGCTGCGATGAACAAGATGCCGGTAGACTTGGAGAACATCGAGGCCACCAATGTCGCCAAGGAGCTGATCAACGAGGCCATGGCATTGCTGAAGCCTCCCGTCACGGCGAACCACAGCCGCGTTATTGCAGACTTTTTGAAATTCTTTGAGAACTTTGACGACTGGAGCGAAATGTGGGTGCTTCTCTCCTGACAAGGAATCAAAGCTGACGAAATGCAGGGTCAACACGGCCATCTCACGTTCCCGCGAGCTACGGGAAAGCGTACCCTTCATCTTGGGCCTGCTGAACAGGCTACTCGATGTAGCAAAGCGAAACAGCCTCCCTATTGACCAGGTGGACATGTTCTACAAAAAGTGGCAAACACCAATAATCAACAGCTCTCCTGGGATGGTCGGCCAGCTCGTCAGCAACGCATTGAAAGACCAGAGCACCGAGGCGCAAACCGCAAGACAAACGTGGTGCGAAGACGAGCCGTCGGCTGAGCTTCTCGAGGGTCAGAGCCAACCGCCCCCGACAAGCTTCGGCTTGATCGCCGGCCTGTTCAAGGGTCTCGACCGACTCGGCATGGAGTCTGAGCTGAATGACCTAGTGAACCATGTTGTTCACCATCAGGAAGAGATCAAGCCGATACACATGGCTCCGCTGTGGCTGCATTGTCTCAAGAGTCTTCACGATCTCGTCGACCCCAGTCCGGCATTCCAGAAGCTCTTCCGGGCTATTTTCGGTCTGTACCACAAGATGGTGTTTGATGACGCTTCCCTCCAATTCGAGGACGCCCCGTCATCCATCACGCCACTGCGGCCCTGCTGCGCCGACTGCAAATACCTCGACGCCTACTTTGAACAGCCCAACTGGAAGAAATTTCATCTTGTGAAGCCAAAGAAGGTGATTGACCATATCCAGGAGCAACTCCGCCAGCAGAGGAAGCCCATCGAGACGACAATCTTTGGCAAAAACGAAATGTCCATCACGATGCAGCTGAACAAGGTCTCCCTGGTGAACAAGGAGCTCGGCAAGCTTGAAGCGTTGCGCAGACAGGAGGCGTCTAGAACCGTGCGACAGTTTGAACCATCGAGGTTGCTGCCCTTCCTTGGCGACAAGGGAGACATTATGTGGAAGCTGGGCGATGCTCATTCTGCGGAGCCCATCCAGCGGACGCCGGCGAGGCCATCACTTACGTCCGCCAGCGGATCTGGGCTTTCTCGGACCAGCTCGTCGTCATCTGCGAGTACTTCCGGCTCCACGGCCACCCCTAGCAGGAGCGTCCGAGAGACGGTCGTCAAGAGAGAGCCAGGGTCAGGCGCTAGAACCACGGTCGGTGGATTGGTCACACCAAAGACTGAACCGCGCAACGAGCTCGCGCGCGTCAAGACTGAGCACACACCCTCAAGCTCTTCGAACCACGGCCATTCCAGAAGCATCCGCGATATGTTCGCGTCGGTCAAGAAGGAGAAGACGCCGGGAAGCGCCCACGCCAAGAGCGGGCTGTCTACGAGGGATCGTCTCAAGAGTCTTCAACCGCCCCGGCGAGAGCAGTCCACACCCAAGTTTAACGACTACTCGAAGCCGCCGATGGGCTCCCTCGACAATGCGGGAGCAAGCAGTAGCTCTAGGGCGCCCGAGCCCGTCGTCAAACGGGACCCGCTCGCATCGTTTGGCGGTGGCGGCACGCGGAATAGGGAGCCGGTGCGCAACGGGATCCGGAAGAGGGCCGGGCTTGCGCCCAATGCCCCGCCCTTGTTGAAGACGGTCAGCAGTTTTGCGAGCAGACACAACGCCACCCCGGGCCCGTCAACGACCCCGCCCCTGAACACCACGCCCGGGTCATCAGCATCCGCTTCGCGGGCGCCGGATTTCGTGTCAGCGATCCTGGACGCTGAAAAAGCCCGCAAGAAGCGGTCTTCCAAATCGACGTGGGAGGTGAAGACGGCCGCCGGAAACGTGGTGGGCGCGGGGACGTCCTCGGCCATGGCCAAGTCGCGGTTCGACGGCCTTGCCAAGGACAAGGAGAACGCGACGCGCCGTACACATTTTGGCACGTCAGCAGCCGGCCGGGCCGCGAGCGTGTTGTCGGCGCGCTCGCCCAACATTTGCGGTTCTTCGACGACGACGGGGAGTAAGAGAAAGGCGGACGACGACCTCATCGATCTCTGCGGCAGCAGCAGCCCCGAGCGCGCGAGCAAGCGCAAGAAGAGCGCTGCTACTTTTGACCCTTTTGACGACGACGACCCCTTTGCGGATATGTAGTTGGTGTTTGACTATGGCGCGCGGATGACATTGGCAGGCGCATTGTGTTTGAGATTACGACAGTTGGTTTGCTGTCTGGATGAGCGGCTGGAAGTTGGCAAAGGCGTTTGGTGGCACGCGTGTTGAATCAGAAGCTGTAGGATCGATACCCCAAGACCAGGATTGCATTTCAAGAATCAATGGATGCCATTCTTATTGCTATGATTAACCTATTTTGTGTACTCCCGTGTCCCAGAATCGACCATACGCACGAGTACGTTTACATCACGTACAGAATATCCGTGTCTAAGGGGGTTTAGCCAAAGCAGTCTCGACGCACGCGGGAGAGCTTACCAATGGGGTGACTGCTGGATAGCTGGGGCAGCTGCGTGTACTTTTCCTCGAGCACGTCACGGATGCTGTTGAGGAGCTGGACGTAGCTCTGCTGGGGGTTCGCCTTGAGGGCAGAGATGAAGGCGTAGGACATGGCGCCGGTGGCCTGGTTTGCAATGTTGGCGTCGGCGCTGCTCAAGTTAGTCATCTCCAAAATCACACAGCACTGGAAGCACTCACGAAGTTTGGCTGTCCTTGCTGCCGGACCACATGATGACGTCGGCAGGCGACGTGCGGGTCTCCTTGG